TGCAGGAGGGTATAATGTGGTGTATGAGATACATCTGACTTAGTTTTTATTAGCCTCTAAGCTGAATCTGAATTTGAACTATGCATCCAAAAGCCTGTGTGGCCTGGTACAGGACCTGCTTTCTGAGCAGTCCTGGGAAGTTAGACCAATCAGAGAGGCTGACTTAAGGTGCTTTGTTGGTGTTCATCTGATTTTAATATGAATACAATGAGTCTTGTTTTCTAATTAATCTGCTCTTGATGTAAAGTCCCTTCCAAAGGGCAGAAACATGAAGTATATCCAAACATTTAAAACCTCTCTGCTGCCTCCCTCTTCTCTGTGGATTCCTATTCTGCCTCCCAGTAACACCATCACAAGTCATGTAAGACTTCCCTAGTGTCTCTCAAATCAGCATAACAGCCCTGCCGTGTTTGGCAGTACTGCAGTCCTTTCCTTGGCATCAGTATTGTTCAAGACTTGAAGACCTTAGTGATGAGTATGTCAGCTGTCTGAAGTTCAGCTCCTCTTCTGTGAGAAGAGTGTATAAGTGATGATGTAATGAAAGCAAACAAGTACAAGATGTTACATGGCATGGGAACACCTAGAGTATGTTGACCTTGAGGGCTTTCAAAAAGGCGTTATAAATTGTCCTCTGTGGCTTGACTACCATGAAATCCCAGTACTGCAGTGCTGGGTATTGGCATTTAATTTCTGATTGATTCAGAAGTTAAAAAAAACAATCAAAACAACAGAGTTCTTAGTCAAGTCAAAAAACTCCACAACCTTTTTATTCTGATGTTGAAACACTTCACACTAAAAAAGACAATGAAGAAATGTTTCAGCCTTTCCAAAATAGGATTTTTAAAGCTTTTTGTTCTGAGAAATGTTTTGATTGTTCTGATCTATTTGAACACAAACACATTTTGAGATGTATTTTCCTCGAGTGAGCATCAGGTGTTGCATTCTGCTTTTTCTAATGGGTTAGCTTAGCAGACTGAGGCTGAAGAGCCCCATTGCTTCTCTCAGCTTGTTTTGTAGAAAAAGACCATGAAACTCCTATGTTCTACCATCGAAGAAGAAGAAAAAAGTGAGTGTTGATAAGAAAAAAGTGTAGAGGGGACAGGGAGTAATGAAACTCACCTGTGAGGGCATCTGCAAAAGCCAACAGCAATGAGGGAGAAAAACTAAGCACTTCTTTCCCTGGAGCTACTTGTTTCTCTGACCTTCACAACACAAATCGCTCCTTCCATTATGAATAAATACTAACTATCCTGCTGCAGTTACAGCATCCTACTGGCTTCTTGCAGGAGGAGGAAAGGAAGAAAGGAAGGAACACAGCACTGTCCTTAGCTTATTTCAAAAGGAGGGAAAGACAGTGCAACTGCCACAAACCAGAATCACAGGGTGCAGCCATTTTGCTTGTGGGAAGCATGGTGGGATGAGAGGTAGGTGGAGAGAAGCCCAAAGGAGAAGCAGAGAGGAGTGACCATGTGCATGTGGTGTCTGATCTGCAGGGTGCCCTCAGCTGTGCCTGTATGGCACTGGACCAGAGGTGGGAGCTCACAGGGAGTTGTGTGCATCAGTGGCTGGTGTTTGAGATGCATTACATGGGGCTCCATCTTTCTAGTTCAGCCACTGAACTGCTCTACCATAGCAGGTTCCTCCCTGTTTTGCTGCCATGACCAGCCACACCACAGGGCTGGCTTTTCCCCTTGCTGTAAGTGCTTTGTAGACAGGGCATTTCTACTGCCAGTTAAATAGGTCTGAGATATCCAAGACCTGAACTGGTGCAAGGCATACACTAGGAATTGTTTGGAGATAGCAACAGGGAAGACTGAAGGGTTGTCATGCTTGTAAAGCTTACATATTTTATGTGCAGTTAGGAGTGTCAGACACTGGCAAGCATTTTGGGCCTGGTGTACTCTTACTTTTCAGTCGATGACTAAGGAGGAAGAGAAGAGAGGACCCCAAAGTGTTGCTTTCTCTGTTGTAGTTTTGTCAATGAGAAAAAGCAGAGATTGAGGCTGATCCCAAGAACACTAACTGGTGCCCAGTTTCTCAGGTGCAAGCTATTTTACAGGTCCAACACAGCATACCTTGCTTCTGCTATTTGTCATTCAGGAATCAAACCCAAAAGCTTTGCCTGTATCCTTTCACCCACTCCTAACATCATGTCTCATTATGTATAGTCACATTCTAAGCACTACTGCAACACATCCAGCTCCCAGAAACACTGTAGACCTCCTTAACTATCCTGTAACTTGTGGCTTTCAGCACTGACTCCATCCCAGATGGTTTGAGGTGGATGATGGTTCTTTTTTAGTGTGTGCTGGTGATGCACATTCCTCTTGAGTCTCTCCCCATTCTAGACTTGCCCTGTCCATTGGAAAACGCGATGGAGGGTCAATGGGTACATGGTGGCTACCTCCAGCCAAGAGGTGGCTGGGCCTTGCTCTAGGTGTGGAGGGGCACAGATGGCACCCATCAGCAAAGTGTTGCTGCCACAGGCAGGCACTAGCTGCAGCACCAGTTCAAGGAAATGCGTTTTAGGTAAAACATAATTAACCTAGATACGGATCTTGATGCCACAAGACAATGCTGAAGCCAAGAGCTTAACAGGACTTTTACAAGGAGAGACAATTATGTGGATAATGAGAATAGCCACTGGTTAAAGGAGTCAGAAAACCTTTCTCTTTTGCTGTTTTCTTTATTTTTTCCAAATGAGCACCACGTCCACTTTATCTGTAATGGCTTGAATCAACTGTGAACTGTCACTACTAGGGAAAAAAAGCTACTTTGATGGGCAAGTTATTGCGTAGTGTATTACTGCATCTTGAAGTATCTCCTTGTCCAGGAGAGGTGAGCTGACCATGGGCAGAAATGCCTTTTAGTTTCCAAAACCTGTTTGAGACCCCAGACCTCACTGGGAAAGGTACTGGGAGTGGGGCCAAGGGAAGGGAGAGCATCAGTGATGGATGGCTGGGGTGGGGGGAGAGCATGTGCATGGGTTCGCTTGTAATTAGGAGATTTAAACTTTGAAAGAAGTTAATTAATAATGAAACTTGTGACTGAATGATGCAGATTGTGAAGACCGGCTTTGTCAGCAGCTGCAATTAATTACAGGCTCAGGCACAGGGAAAAGGAGGGGGTGAAGGATGTAGGGAGAGGGAGACATCACCAGAGGGAAGATGATAAACCTGGCTCCAGGCTGTTGCTGTGGTGACAGGAGGCAGTTTCCATGGTTGACAGCAATGACACATTGAAGGCAGCAGGTACTTGTAATTACCCCCTCCACCGACCCAGGCAGGCAGTAACCCCTCCTGTCTCAGGGCTGGAGATGCTCCAGTTTTCTTCTCACACTTTCTTCCTCTCTGCTGCAGGTTGGATGTGCCTTTTCAGGGCCCCCACCTGCTCTGAAAGGAAAACCACGAGGCGGCAGATTTTCCTAATGTCACTTTAATAGCCCAGGAGCAGCCAGCAATTCAGCAGCATCCTTGGAAAGCCTGGACAATGCCGGCAAATTTTCAGAGTTGTTATCCGAATAGAAGGGGAGGAGAAATCAAGTGCAGCCAGCCACAGCCTTTTGAGCAAGAAGACAAAGGCTTTGCATGTATGGCCTAAGCTGCAACAGCCCTGGGAGCACTTGCTGTGGCTGGCCAGGTCTTGCCAGCTGCCCAAAGGCACCCTCCCGTGATTCGTGTGGCCTAGGCAGAGGGGAAAAGTGCTGCAAGGCAAGGGGAGCATGGGAGCATCCTGAGTACCGACACACTGCTGCTGCCAAAGCATGCACACAGAAGTGTAGATCTGTATGAAATAAACTCCTAACTTTCAGTCCCTGTCATGGTTTCAGACCCTTTGCTTGAGTTCCCCAAGTTTGGCTGCACTAGATCTACATCACTGCTTTGCGATTCAAATGCTGGAAAGATATCACAGAAAAGGGGCCACTTTTAGAGCTCAAATATTGTAAATGAGTTCTTGGATAAGTGTGTATCGGGTCTTGACACTCCTTCAGGAGGAGAGGGATGGTGAAGAGGAGGCAGGTAGAGGATGTGGAGAGCACAGAGAAAGTCACAGAAATACACCATTTTTACCCTTTTCTGTAATACATAAATGAAGTGGCACTTGGTGAAATTAAAAGACAAAAAATTAAAAATAAATAGGAGGAAACAATTTTTTAGTGTAAAGTATAATTAGCCAGTGTAGCTCAGGGCTGCCAACTATTATCGAAACAGATATTTCAGTAAGATTATCAACAGATGATTCAAATGAATAAGCAAAGCATCTGCAGGGATACTAGTATAGCTGAGAAAACAATTATAAGGGCTATCAATCCTCATGCTTTAGGGCATAAATAGATCACCAGCTGGGGTCAGAAATGCAATTTCCCCCTATGGTTACCAAATAACTTAATTAGGCATATTGTGGAGTTTTATCCAGCATGGGTCACTGCTGGAAGCAGAATAACGGATTAGATGGACCATCAACCTGTTCCAATATGGCAACTCTTCATCTCCAAGTTCCTCTCAGAAGGGGAAAGAGGGAGACTTCTAGCCTTGTGTTATTGGAAAAGGGTCCCAGAAGTGCACTAATCATTAGGCTCATGCAGACAACTGGCTGTCCATTTTGGTTTAGATCCCTAGATTCTAGAGATCTCTGCTACATTTGAGTATAGGCCACCATGGAAAATCTCTTCCATGTATTTGGGAGATTCAGTAAACCAAGGAGGGAAGGGACTGAGCAAACCAACAGGAAAGGAGTGAGCATGTGTTTAATCATGGCAATGATTTGACTTGTATGAATACCTTAGACCTTTGTGCTACCTCTACTTTTTCCTTTTGAAAAGAGTTTTGGCTTGATCAAAAAGTGGAGTAATAAGGAGCTGAAAGGGGAAAACATAAGAATGTGAGAAGTCCAAAGTTATTTATCTTAATCTTCCTATTTTGTCACCCAAAGCCTATGGCAAGCTTATCTCAGCTATGATGCTGATGCTTTCACAGAAGTTTTCCTTGACTCTTTACCACCTGGTTTGAGTGTGTCAGCATGATGGTGATTTTGTTAAACTGCGTTACCCTGGGGATGTACCAGCCATGTGAGGATATGGACTGCCTTTCTGATAGGTGTAAAATCTTGCAGGTAAGCAGACTTCTTTCTTGTTGTGATGGTGCTTCAGTTTCATACATGCTTTCCTTTGTTGTGTGAGCAACACTTTTCCAGACAGGTTGGCAAGAATGCCCCTGGCAGTAAGCTATGCTGCTGTAAAATAGTAAGAGCTTGCTTTGAGGAGGGAAATGCTAATGAATGAAGTCTACTTGTGACCATGCAATACAGAGCAGTTGCTGACTTCCTGATTCTGTGCGTAAGCAGGGTTTTCCTGACATAGACAGCTGTAAGATACATAGCTCAGAGGTAAGCCAGGGATAAATAATCATGGTTATGGTATCCAGGCAGGAGAGAACAGCAGCTCCTAATTCATTCATTACTCTGTTGAATAGCAACGGTATTACTGAGTCCACAGGTAACATGGCATTTAGAATGCCTAAAGGGAGAAGAAACATAAGGTATACTAAGAAGACCATAGGTACATCCAACCTATGAATGCACTAGCTGTGGTTTTGCTGCTATCCCAGAGAGAAGGCGACAGCAAAGGCTGTCATCTATAGTGTTGCTGAGGCTGCAATGTTCAGATATCTGAAACCTCTGTGATTGTTACGTGCTGCCTAAGCTGTGTGTGAAGCTGCACTATGTTCTCAGCTGAGCCATTTGCAGTGGGGTGATAAGGAATCCCTCCTGGGAGACCTTGGAAGGATGGTGTTTCCCTGGCCAGGTTTGGATCTGCTGGTTCTGAGCCAATATCTCCTTTCAAGTTCATGTAAGGAGTTTCTGAGTCTACGTCAATTGCTTTACCCATGGGGAAAAAACCCATAACTTAAAAACCCTTTGCTTACTTGAGCAGCAGTAAACTGTGGTACCAGGGCTGCATATAAGAAGCATTTCCAGCCCTGCCTCTAACTCATTTTCAGAAGTATTGAAATTTGTATTTATCTCATATTCTGCATTTTAAAGTCCAAGGCTGAGAATGCTTACCAAATGTGCTCTTGGGTTTCTGTTTGGCAGGTGTTCGATGATTTCATCTTCATTTTCTTTGCTATGGAAATGGTCTTAAAGATGGTGGCCCTGGGGATCTTTGGCAAGAAGTGTTACCTTGGAGATACCTGGAACCGCCTGGATTTCTTCATTGTTATGGCTGGGTAGGTTGATAGTTTCTGGTTTTATGTGTTCTGTGTTTGCTGGAGACTTGCATGTAAAAGAAATTATGTTATTGAGGGGAAAGTTTCCACTTTGGTGCTACTTCAGTACATCTGCAGGATTTAGCAGTCTATGGAAGAAACAGTAGACAAGGTAGGTTAGCTCCCCAGCTGATGCGCAGCCATCTCACACAATTTCTGTAGGTGTTAATCTGTACTAGCTGAAGGGGCTTTTAAAACGCCTGAGTCGAGGAGCTGTAACCTTTACCAGAACCAAGCTAGCTTCTCTGTTTCCAGCAGCAGTGTTTCAAAAGTAGGAATGTCATTTTTGTTACCCTGGGCTTTTTGTATCACACTGGCCTTACCCTCAGTACTATGGGGACAAGTTGACATTTGAGTGTTTTTTACAACAAAGTTGCTATGGTGAAGCTCTGATTTCCCCTCTATATGTATGAAGTGGAAAGCCTACCAGGATTTGCCTATTGAATCACAGCAAAATGTCCATCTCTGATTTTGATGAGTGCTTTTTCTGAATTTGTCCAATTTCCATTAGACTGTCTTGTGGTACAGTTAAAAAAAAAATAAATCCAGAAATAAATATGTAATGTTGCTGTTCTCACACCAAGCAGGTAAACAGTGAATGTCTTTTCAGAGAGAACCCCCCGCTTTCCTTTTCCTCCCAAAAAGGAGCTACTCATATTTGCTGTTATGGAAGTGCATGTATTAGTGACTGAGCCAGCAATGAGTTCAAGCTCTCTTTGCAGGGCTTTCCCCTGAAGTGTGGAGCAGCACTGTCTTTATATTTGCTTTTGATACAGTTCTTCTACAGAAAGACTTGAAAGTCATTCCCTCTGGAGGGGTGTATAATTGTTTGCTTCTGGGAGGCGCAGAGATTTTCAAGCTCAGCTCAGTTGTAAATTTTGAAGGCTGATTCTCAGCCAGCTTGTGCATGAAAGGAGGACAGGCAGATGAAAGCTGTCGCTTTTCCTGAATTAACACAACATGTGTGAGATGAGAAGACCTTTTTCATGGCTGAGCCTGCTGTGATTAGCATCTGATACAAAATGGTCTGGCATGTGGGGACTGTGGGTTAAGGCACCTGACACATGGTGGTGAGGAAAACCAGATCATTGTATGCTCTAGCCTGAACTTCTGGTGACACTTTTGCCAGTGACATGATGCAGGGAAAATGAGACCCTACCAGAGCAGTCTTTGAGGAGGAAAGGGAAGAACAAGTGTGTTTGAAAGGGGGTCGTTGGAGCCCATGGTGTTCCACTGTGCGTGGGATGTGCTGCAGTATGCTGGGAGGAAAGTGTTGCTCCAGTTGGCCCAGGAGTGCTGGTGTACGGGATAAAAGACTTGGGAACTTGGGGTTTCACTCTGCCCGGTGTCCCTCAAGCCTGGTACGTGAACAATGCTATCTGGAGAGATGAAGAAATCAGTGGAGCTTAATGAAAGAGGGTGGGCTCAAGTGCTTACTCCATGCAGGAAACAAGTAAAATCCATGCTAGCTAGATGAGGAGGGAGTAAACCCCATGTCTGTTGCTGTTACTGGCAGAAATTTGAGAAGAGAGTGTCTTTTGTGCATCTGGTAGCAGTGCTAGGAAAAAAGCTCATATCTGAACTCCTTTCAATGCCAAGGAGACTTAGAATCAACTCCTTAGATATAAAATAATCAGTGTGGAGGATTTTTCATTTCAGGTCCAAGACTGAAAGAAATTTTTTTCCTGATTTCTATACAATTGTCTTCATGAGGTGTCAGACTGAAATGATAGTAATCTCATTAGAATACCCGATCTCAAAAGACTTCTGCTAAAGAAAGATTTTTCCATTTAGCTATATAGAACTAATGACTATATAATGTATCTCAAGTTATAAAAGCTTGTGGTTATTAATTCATTATTCTTTGAAATTCATTAGAATTGTCTGCACTGTTTAAATCAAATGCAAGGCTCAAATTTGCCCTTACATACAGAGTGTAGGCTTTTATTTAACCTCAAATTTAAGCTCAAAGCTTTATCCTGATTGGTTCCACACCATGGCTTCAGCTTTCTTTGGGTCCAGATGCTGTCTTAGCCTTCTGCATAAGAGAAGACATCCTGCATCAGGTCTTGCATGTTTTCTTCATGGCTGTGAGTAAGATCCTGATCTGAGGTTAATCAGTTTTCTCTAAGGGCCTTCTCTTCATGGTCCTGGACTCCCTTTACCTGCAAGGGAGGTCATAAATTTGGCTCTCAAGAAAACGTTTGTGATGTTGAGAAGTAATGCACTGCCTATAAGATGTACAGCTTCTCACAGTCTCAGGAACAAGGACTGTACTTCCCAGCCCTTTCTCTTCCCTTCTCCCTTTCCAAATAAACACCAATGAGGCAGCAAAGGTTGGAAGAGTAAACTGTAGAGTGGAAAAGCAAAGTGAAGGCAAGAGACTGTTCTGTTGGGTGTTCCTGGGCATCTGCTGCATGACAGCATATTTTATCAAAGAGCATAATGACTATTTGTTGCTATTGCCCCAGACGGTGTTTTGGTTACATAAACCATGTATTTGGGCATTCATTCTCCTCACTTCCTTGGAAAGCCAGAAGCTGTAGTTTTAGTTAGCTGAATTCCCTTGTGTGTCCCTGCCCTGCTTGCCCCTGCTCCCCACGCAACCCATCAGCTCAAGGAGGAAGACTCCATTGTCACTAAAAATATTTCGTTTCCATGGCAATAGGAGCTGTCATCACCAGAACTTTCTCCCCTCTCACACACTCCCTCCCCCAACCACCTTCAACACGTTTTTTCAGAAAGGAGTAGAAAAAAACCCCCAAACAACAGTCCTAAGTCAATGCTCTCCATTGTTCCCCTCAGAGCTCCTAAAACTGAGTAAGTCAATTTGGGTTGAAGAATGCTGACGCCCTTGTGTGCACAGACAACCAGGGCTGCAGATTCAGTTTGCTGATGCTCCAGGTCCCAGCTGCTCACTGGTGACAGGAGGTTGCAGGTTCCCAGGCATTTCAATTAGACTATGCTCCTCACCAGCTGTCCCGGTGGAAGTCCCTTTGTTTGTGATTAGCTCTTGTCTGTTGTCATGTTTCCCAAAGCAACGGGTGCATTTGGAGAGCTTGATTCAGAGGCGGCCTTCCTAAAGTTGAAAGCCTACTATGTTTTGAAAGTTGAGATAATGCAAACACTAATGATATTGGAAATGTCAGCCAGTGTCTATATGTGCATGAATTTAGGAGTTACTTATTTCCGGACTAGCACTCATCAACTTTTTAAGCCAGGCAGTTCTCTAGCAAACAAAGAGTGAGCGATTTCTCCTGCTTGCTCTTCTCTGTGAGGCAGTCGTGTTCATATGTGGTTGGAGATGATGCCACTGTCTATCTGGGAAGGAAGATACCCCTTTACATGACTCTGGCCTGAGGGTCTCTGTGCAGAGAGTGAATTCATGCAACCTGCTTGGCCTTGAGGACATCAGTTCCACTGAGGGAGTGGTTGTTCTGCCTCTCTTCAGCCATGCACTGTAATGATTTGCAGTGGGAATTATGCCTGTCTCTGTCCTCTCCTGTGGCATCCCCATGACACTTTCTGGTATGCAGTTTACTTGTGTAAATAGCTAAGTAAGTTGAGGGGACAGAGTTTCACTATGTGGCTGGGGTATAATTGTAATTACAAGTGTGTGCCCAAAACAGGTCCAAAATCTTTCCTTAACTACTTGCTGCTTGGAGTCCACTGGCTGAGGAGAGTCTCGTCTATCTTTCAGTGAATAGCCTGTCTTTGCCTCTCTCTCTGTTATTGCACTGTTGCTTGCCGTGTAGATTTCATAAGCTGTGGTCAAATCCCATCCTGACCTTGACTTTGATGAGAAGAATAGCATGATTTGTATATTTTGGCATTTTGAGATATACTTGCAGTGGGTTTTAACAGCTTTTTAAAAGTGGTGGACATCAGAACAAGGCCCAGCGCTCCATGTTAGCTGTTTCTGTGCCTTTAGTGGTAATACTTTCTCTGCATTCCAACCTGAGGTTTCCCAGTTCCTACAGCCACGCATTGCAGTAGCCCACCTAATCAATCACAGCGTCATTCTATCAGTTCATTAGGCTGCTTTGTCCATTGGCTCCAACCTTGGTTGGTTGGTTTTTTTTCCTGTCTCCTCTTCGGGAGAGAGAAAATCCCTTCCTATTAGTAGGAACATCAAACTTTGTTCCCAGATGTATGCTGTTTCATTTGTTCACACTGGCATACAGATTATTTGCATTTCCAAAGCAGTTCATGCTGTTCTATATTGCTGACTTGTCCATTTCTTTTCTGTTCTCCCAAATATATGCTTCAACTGCAAAATCCATTGGTGATTTTTGTTTTTCTTTAATTTTCTGCCATGTTTTGATAAGTAAAGAACAGAGTAGAAAGAATTGTGCATTATTGAAGTACATCTGCTCATGAATGACTATCCATTTACTGTTGCATGTGAGGTTTATTACTTAGACGGTTTTTCTCCAGCTAATATATGTCATGATGATTTCATATCATTCCAGCCATATCAACATAATTACTTGTGTGAACCAGAGTTGTAATCTCATAAGAAATTATAACACATTAGTTTGATGATGTCTATTTTTCCTTAAACCTGTGTTGATTATGGTTAATTTTATTATCCAGCTTTAATCCGTAATCTATCAAAGCTGCATATTGGCGATTTCATTACTGTGCTGTGATCAGCATCAGCCCAGTCAGCCTAGTGAGATCACTCTGTTTCTAAAGTACTGGCACAACATCAGAATCTCTTTGACCCTTGGATGCTTTCCCAGTTTTCTGAGACTAATCAAAAATCATCAGTACTGGTCCAGATCTTTTCTGGCCATCTCTTTTAAAACTCTTGTACATAAATTGTCCAGGCCTGCTTATCTTAGAATATCCATATTTTGATAAGCACAGCCTAAAATACTTGATCACAGCTGGAGATGAAACTACCTCATTATTATATATGGTACATATACACCATCTGACCTTTCCTATAGAACTTC